TCTTCATCACAAATGACAATGAGCTTTGAACAATATTAGTAGATTTCTAAGATTCACAGGTTATGAACCTCATGAGAGTATCAATAGCGCTAGCAGGTTTGCTGATCTGGCAATTTTCGATTTGACATGAATAGGAATAGCATGCTGCCGCACTATGGGGAAAGAACTAAGATGGAGTGAGGTTTGCTATTTCCTGAGGTGCCAGCGCAGCTCTTGGGGTGCCACAGCAAGGCTTTTGCAGCAGGCAGTCAGTGGGCATAGCTAAGGGGTTGTGAATTTACCGCCAAGAGGGAGGGACCTGATCCTGGAGTCTTTAATAAGGTGTGCCTTTATCATTAGCTAGGACAACTGAATTGAGAGGTGGTCAAAACAGATAAACGTTAAGCATAACTCAGGAGCATAGGGGTATAAAAGTAACACCAAATGCATATAGAAACATTAAATTTGCCATATTACAGTCAGAGTCTATGTGAGGCAAAGTGGGTGACTCATCTATGGCTTCTAGAGTCCTAGTCAGCCCACACCCGCAGGAGGCATACCACAGTCCCATTCAGGTGCTTTTGTGGATCCTGGTCTTGGTCTCTTCGTGTGCTCAGGAGGCGGCCCGTGTAGTGGTCGCGGGTAGGTAGCTGACTGACCAGATGTTGCCATCATTATGGGCCCTGTGCCCAGCCTTCTCCACCCTTGGATTTGCGTCGCTCTGTTCTTGGGCGAGGTGAGTCTTGTCAGTGCATTCTTCTCCTTGTCTGTGTGCCCCAATCTCCGCAGTTCTTCGCACCTCCACTCCCCACTGGGTCCCGACTGCGGCTGTAGGTGTCGTTGCGATGTGTGACTCTTTTTATAGTGCGGTCTAGGAGAGCGGAGTCGGTCCCTGCCAGACCTTCGTGCAGTGTAGTATCGGCGGGACGGGGGGCATGTTTGCGTTGGCGCCCTGCTCGAGTGAGTGGGAGCGCTGTGCGGCTGCTGGTTTGTGTAATGGGAGTAGGTGAGCGTTGCTTGCTTTGTGGTAGTGGGTGGCTGTGGCGGAGCACTTTGATTCAGTATACCCGCTAGCTTCCTCCAGAAGGTCTCAAAGTGGTAGTTGATTTGTGTGAGGATGTCTTGTGGGGACTCACTGGGGTGGTCGGCACATGTTGTGTCCGCCATCTTAGAGAGGCCTCCGTTCGCTGTCTTTGGCGGTATTCCATCTATCCTCAAGCTTGGGGTCACAGGGTTGGCTTGTACTGTGAGCAGCTTCAGGGTGCCTCCAGGACTGGGGAGCGGCCGCTTCCCCCGCCCTTGAGCACCAGGTCGCAATGCCGGTTGAGTCTTCAGCTGGCCCCAGTCGGGTTGCACAGGATCCCATCGTGTGCCCTCTATCATGGGTGACAGGTTGGCGTCGGGCAATGCCAATGCGACTGGGTGAGACAATTTTCGCTTATTTTGTCAGGATTTAGCAGGAGCTTGTGTAAGACGCATCTCCCCGCCATGATGGTCAGGCCCCACCCCCCTTAATTAATTTTTTATTAGTATTAAAACCTTTTAATGTTCTTGTTATCTCTAATATTTGTTTTCAGGGGTTCAACTGAAATGATGTACAAGAGAGGGGACAGGGGACACCCCTGTCTAGTGCCCTTATGAAGATCAAACCAATCCTGCACATATATTTGCTCCTACTGTTCTTGCTAATGGTACAGAATATAATGCCAAATCCAGCCTTCAAAAGCAAAATATTTTAGTACGCTTCTTAGATAACCCCAGCTGAACCTGTCGAATGCTTTTTCAGCATCCCATAAAAAGGCCGGGAGGGGTTTCTTTCTTTTACTAGATTGATCCAGTATATCTAAGATTCTTCTTGTACAATTGTTAGTTGACCAACGGGGAATGAAGCCTATCTGGTCTGGATGTATTATTTTTTCTATTATTACTTTTATTTTTTTCTGCTATATTGGCAGCATATAACTTCATATCCGTATTTATCAACAAAATTCGTCTATAATTTCTTACGTCAGTTCCAATTTTGTTGGGTTTTAATACTGGCAGAAGATTTGATTGCAAAATTTGATCTTCTTGCATTCTCATTAAACAGAGACGTCAGAGGTTTTATTATTTATGGTTTCATTAATTTATAATATAAGTTGCTAAATACATCAGGACCTGGAGTTTTATTCATATCTAACCTACCTATTTGTCTCTCAACTTCAGTAAATATGAAATTTTTATTTAGTAGATCCAAATCTCTATCTGTTAATTTTGGAATATTAGTTTTGGTTAAATATTTCTGTATATCACTCTCCTTTTAATGTAATTCTAGATTATTTAGTTCACTATAAAGATTGTTAAATACATTTCCCCTATTTTTTCAGGATATGTTTATGGGGTATCTATTAATTTATCAATCCTATTCCTTGATCTTTTTTTGTAATTATTTTGTTAGATTTTTAGTAGCTCTGTTTCATGAGTAGTAATTGTTTAAATTTATTTTATTTAGAATTGTTTTAATTTTATCTTCTGTGTTTTTTAAATGTATTTCATTTTGAAGTTCAAATAGCTGTGTTTTGTTTTTGGCTTGGGGGTTGTAATTTGTTAGAATTTGATAGCTTATGGAAATATATCTATCTATCTATCTATCTATCTATATATATATATAGATAGATAGATATAGGTCCGCCAATTGTTGTTTACCTTTTATTTTTTTTAGCTATTCTCACAATTTATTTAAATATCCCCTCATAACTGCCTTATGTGTACACCAGATTGTAGATTGTAAAATATCTAGGGTATCATTTTCATTAAAAAAAAAACATTTTGAGAATTTTATCAATTTATTCATATTATCTTCATTTTAATTAAGGAATCATCTAATCTCCATGTGGTCACACCATATATTGGAGATTTTCCCAATTCAATTAAGACAAAACTGTGGTCTGACCAGGGATTATCTTTAATTTGTATTTTATTTATGAGAGGAATCAAATTTGTTTTAACTAAACACGTCTAATCTAGAATAGGATCTATGTACTTTTGATAAGTGAGAATAGTCTCTGCTCAATGGATGTGTAATTCTCCATGCATCGTACAATTGAAATCTTCTGCATGTACTATTTCATTTCTTAGATTGTTTCAAAACTCTTTTATTGGTTTTAACAGACACTTGAGATATCTTATCTATTTCATGGTCCAATACGCAATTAAAATCCCCAGCAATAATTAATATGCCTTTAGATATTTTCTCAACTTTTTCCATTATCTGGGCAAATAACGACATAGGGTTGGTATTTGGTAAATATACATTTACTAAGGTGAATATACTATTTTGCATACAATTAATAGATACCTAGCTTCTGGATCAGCATCTACTTTTTGTATTTTTTATATCTACTTTTATTTGACTTGAAAAGATGATTGCTACACCTCCTTTTTTTTTTTTCATCAATGATGCATGTAGAATTATTGGAAACTTATCTCCTCCCCATTTCTGGGGTGCGGCCAGCTGCCAATGTGTTTCTTGTATGAAACCTATTTGAATTTTCTCCACATTAAGAGAATTATTTAGCATATGCCTTTTTGCTGGTGTATTTAAACCCTGTGCATTTATTGACATTAACTTCAACATTGATAACATAAATTGTTCCAAATTTTTGAGCTCCTGGTCTGATCACAACATAAACATATAAAAAAAAAATAAAAAAATCTAACAAGTACTGGAGATCTTCCCTCACGATCTCCATTTACATATACCGCATACAATTTTAGGAAATTTATTTCCATACTTTTTGTAACATATTCATCCTTACATTGGCTTTGTTTTTACTTCCCTGTATTCTGGCATCCCTGACTTTTGGCTTTCCCTTATCGTTGTGTCCGATTTCTTGTCCCCGACCTATTCTGACTCTTCTTTACTACGTTTAGTCCGGCCATTCTAAGGCCCTTTTAGTCCTAGGTATGATACAATGCTACATGTTGGATCAACGAGTAATCATGACACTTTTCTCTTTAGCTCTTAGAGCTACTCCGCTAACTGTGTAGAAATACCACTACGGGTGAACCGCTAAACCTATAAGTGTATAATGTATAACTTTCCCCCTTATGACTCTTTTTTCGTGTCTTAAAGATTTCTTAAAGTGCTGTTTGTGTTTCCCTTCTTTTCTCTCTATTCTTATATTAAATTTTAAGCATGTTAACTCTCTTTTGTGATTTTAAACAGAGCATATCTAATTCATTTACAACTCTAGTGCAGTTAATTAATTTTGTGTCTATTTTTCTCTGTGTTATCATTTATAATGTACTCGAAGGAAAAATATTGTGTATATATAGTGTATTTATATTTTCTCATGTGATTTTATCTTTATTTTTAAATCCATCACCATTAATCAAATATCATAATATTTAAATATCTTTCTTATTTCTATATCCGTCCCCTGTTTGCTTTTCATCTTGAATTTCTAGACTTATTTCTTTTTATTTAGCCAATCTATCACTTTTTCATTTGTTTCAAAAGTTTCCATCTGGCTCTCATAAATGATCGTCATTTTAAGTGGAAAACTCCATCTAAATTTTATGTTATGTTTCCTAAGGATCGAAATAGCGGGTGCAAAGTCCTTTTTTCATGAGTGTATTATATAACAAGTCCGGTAGAACTAATATCTTTAGATATTGTCCTCCCTAATTGTTTTTTCTCTGAATGCTTTTAATATTTTTTCTTTAAATTCATAGGAGTAAAAACAAGCAATGATATCTCTGGTGCATCTGATGAAATATTTTGAGGTTTACTCAGTCTATGGCATCTTTCAATCCTTTCTTCTTGGCCATTTAATGAAAGGCCGAAGGCAGTGAAGTATTTGTTTAGGGTGTGTCTCAGATCCTTTTGCTGATTAGGTTCTTCAAAATTACGGAATCTCAGATTTTTTACTTCTTAAACGGTCTTCCAGATCACTGATCTTAAGATCTAATGTAGCCATTTTTGCTATTATTATACATGTTAAGTTCCTTTAACCTTTGCTTGTAAGTTTTATCCTGCAATCCATGAACCAGTTTAGTTGCCTTTCTCTGAACTCTCTCTAAAGTATCAAGAAGGATATTGATACTTTAGAGAGAGTTCAGAGAAGGGCTACTAAACTGGTTCATGGATTGCAGAATAAAACCTACAAGGAAAGGTTAAAGAAACTTAACATGTATAGCGTGGAGGAAAGACGAGGCAGGGGGATATGATAGAAACACAAAGGGAATCAACACAGTAAAGGAGGAGACTATATTTAAAAGAAGAAAAACTAACACAACAAGAGGACATAGCCTTAAATTAGAGGGGCAAAGGTTTAAAAAAAGCCATCAGGCCTGCTATCGGGCTCTCTTTTTGCTTACCACCTTCCCCTCCAGAAAATGAATCTTAGTGTTTCTAAACTGATGGAAATATTTATTCCCCACCCCCACATATAAAATGGTGGGGCACTTTCCCAAGTGATCCCATGGACAAGCCTCACCTGATGGTGCTCTGAATACGATCAGCAGCTAGCTGGACTCAAGCGCTGTAACATGGCTTTGTGAAACAAAAGAAATCAACACTGGAAAAAGTCTTGCATTCAAACTCTGTTGTATATTTCCATACAGCTTTGGAATTCATTTATTGTCCCTCAAAAAATTCTACATTACCCTGCTAAAATTGTGTATAATATCTACTGTTATCTAGGAATGTTGTATTTCAGTTTGAGAGCCAGAGGTGACTTCCAGAGGTGATTAGACTTGGTTGCACTGATATCAAAAACACTTGTGCAAAAATATATTGATGTTGAATATTTTCATCCAGGTTTGGAATCCAGGTTTTGAATGAAAAATAAAAGATGCCACAGGCATTAAGCACTGTGACATATATGTATGGTGGCAATAAAGGGTTAAGCTGTCCTGGTTTTACAGTTAGGGAAAGTCAAGTAAAATCTATTATCCCTGGTTAAGTTGTTGGGCAGAGTGGGACAGGTAGCTGGGGCAGATTTGGTGACACAGCTTGTTGCTGGGGACAAGAGCTGGTTGAGGATTGGTTGCAGGCTGTGGGCGAGTAAGGAGCGGGAAGCCGGGTAAGCATAAAAAGTGATGGCACAAGCGCAATTCCTGTCAGCTGTTTCAAAATCAGGAGAAGCGCGGATGGGCGCCCGCCCTCCCTCCCTTATTTGATAACTTTATTTATAATTGATGTTGTGGTGTTAGACAGCATTGGGGCAAAGTCATCCTCAGGTTCAAGTTCGGAGGAAGGATATGTGTTAAATGGTTGTATATAAAAGGCGGTCCGGTTAGCTATGACTGACTGGATGGTGAAAGTTAAAAGTTTTTGAAGTAAAGTTAAAGGTTTATGTAAATATGTTATCGCTATCAAGTTATGGTGGTATGCCCCTTTTAAGCTTTAAATAAACACCACGGCCTAGCCTATTGAAATATAAATAAACTGTCTGTGTTTATTGTGTGGTCTAAGTTATTCATGCAAAATATTGCTTACATATTCTTCTTACTTTTTAGTTTACATTAGGTCAGAATTTAGTAACTAATAAATCACAGGTCACTACTGGTTCTGTTATGAAAATATTAAGGATGAGTTTTATGTGCTAATAATATATTTTCAGGCCCTTGCAACTTCATTAAAAATGTTTTTTTAATATCATTTCAGTAATGTATGGGTCATATTTTGATCATGCTGTTGAATGGAACAAGTACATTGATGAAAGCAGAGTTTTATTGCTGACATTTGAACAGATGAAAGCGGTAAGTTGAATATGGTCAATAAATATACCATTTATTAGGGCTGGCTAATAATAGATTATATTATGTCATAAAATTCACCACTTTCAGCATTTTATTTCCACCATGCATTCGAATTTAGCACATCTCCAGGAGAAAGCAAACCAAACTTACTGATAAGTCACAACATTAAAATCGCCAACAGGTGAAGTGAATAACATTGATTATCGTTACAATGGCACATGTCAAGGGGAGGCAGCAAGTGAACAGTCAGTTCTTGAATTTCATGTGTTGGAAGCAGGAAAAATGGGCAAGCAAAAATAACTGAATGACTGACAATGGCCAGATAGTGATGGCTAGATGACTGCAGAGTATCTCCAAAACAACAAGTCTTGTGGGGTGTTCCCAGTATGCAGTAGTTTGTACCAACCATCAATGTAGCAAGGAAGCTACTGTAGTTCAAATTGTAGAAAAATGCAATGATGGCCATGATAGAAATGTGTCAGAATATGCAGCGCATTGCATTTTGCTGTCTATGGGGTTGCGCAGCTGCAAACCGTTCAGAGTGCGCAAGATGATCCCGGACCAGGGCCGGATTAAGAGCCCAGTGGGCCTGGTGCTAACAATTATGATGGGCCTAATTACGGAATCTTATCGACCAAAAACACTAAAACTGTCATACCTCCCAAGCATCATGTATCTGATGGAGATGGTCCTGGAGGAAAACTCATAGGATGCAGCTATAAGAAAACACATACTCTATGCTAATCTCTCTCTAATTTATGCTTTCATCTTTCAAGTAAATCCATAACCCTTAACAGCAGTGTCCAGTAAAGCAGGAAGTTAATGGGCGGGGTAAAAGGGTGGGCCACTGGTGCGAATCACGTGACCAGACCTGCCAAAAGGGGAGAACATGCCCAAAAAGGGGGCATGTCTGTCCAAAGAATTTAAAGGACAGCCTGGCATGAATGCATGTCAGGCTGCCCGCCAATCATGCAGGCTTTTCAACTAAGGGCATACTAATCAGGCAGCACCCTGAGCTTGACATAAATGCGTCTAATGATGCACTCACTCTGTGCTTTCTAAGGACTGTCCCCTAGCACTCACTGGTCCACTTTTCTCCTTACCTTCTTACTAGCAGGCAGAAGTTCCTGGTATATAGTCTGAGACAGAGAAAAGGTGTATGTAGTGAGTGTAGAAGAATGGGGACATGCCACAGTGTTAGAGAGACCAACGTCTGCATTACCTAAACTAATAATTTGTCAGCCAGTCCACACAAGTTTCTGTGATCTCCCCTGCCGGCCTCAGCCCAGGGCCATCGCGGCCCACCGGGCATTTGCCCGATGGCCAGTCCGGGCCTGGTCAGTGGCCTCTTTCAGCAGGATAATGCACCCTGTCACACTGCAAAAATAGTTCTGGAATTATTTGAGGAACATGACAAAGAGATGTTTTGGCATCACAATTGGGACCAACACGATAATAGGCACCGTGTTTTAATGTTGTGGCTGATCAGTGGAGTTTCGGTCCCACAGTCAGCCAGTCCACACAAGTTTCTGTGATCTCCCCTGCCGGCCTCAGCCCAGGGCCATCGCGGCCCACCGGGCATTTGCCCGATGGCCAGTCCGGGCCTGGTCAGTGGCCTCTTTCAGCAGGATAATGCACCCTGTCACACTGCAAAAATAGTTCTGGAATTATTTGAGGAACATGACAAAGAGATGTTTTGGCATCACAATTGGGACCAACACGATAATAGGCACCGGTTTTAATGTTGTGGCTGATCAGTGGAGTTTCGGTCCCACAGAGTAAATTTTAGTCTGTGTTTGGCAGTTGTAGCCCAATACACCCAGAATAAATAGTATACATGTTACATATATCGGGTCCATGAGACACCAGAATTAGCACAAAAACTGAGTATCTTTTTTCACCACCATGAGATGCACTGTTGGCCTGCCATGCCTAGCAATGTGTTTAATAGTCGCATGTTTATTCACTAGAAAATCCAAATTTTGGATCATAGAGATTACTTTTCAATTAATCTATTTTGGTCTGAAATTCCCTGGTACATTCCAAACACATCCCAGTTTACTGAAAAACACTGTCAGATTGTGCTGAAACAGTTTGCAGTAGAAACACAGGTAGGAAGCAAGTGAAATTAAAGATTACCAGATAAATAGTACCACTGTTGTAACTTCCATAAAGATGTGATATTGGCACTATAGATGCCGAGCTATTCCAAATATGTCAGTGATATTGCAATTATTAATAAAAAAGAAAAAGAAATCATGGCAACTAAATAAATGTCATGAGTGCTCAACATAAAGATCTAGCATTCATTTCCAACATAATCACCATAGCACACCTCATTTATCAAAATACTCTTTAATGGTACTAAAATAGGCATACAATGTATATTCAACAGTCTTTAAGAAGATATAAAGATAAAACAGCATCCAATGCTAATGAATGCAGAAATTCTTATGGCATAGGTTAGAAAATGTTCTACAATATAGATTATAAGTGCTACCTTTAAAAGATTGTGTCAATCGTTCTCAATTCTCTTGGCACAGTCTTGGCGCAGTCGTTTGAAGATAACACCTGTGATCTAGTGAGTACATAAGTATTTCTACTTTCATGAGCATTTTTATATAGTCTTAAAGACTATTTTTGTACCAATAAAGAGTATTTCTGATAAATACGGTGTGTTATGGTGTTTGTTTACTGTATATTATTTATAAGGAACCTTTGCAGGCAACAATCTGAAAGTGGAACTACCAGTGTTTCTACTGGCTTTATTGTATTTAGAAGTTCTGATGTATCATGTAGAGATGTAGACACGACATCCTCACATGTTTTGGGTGGCTTATTACTGATGATGGGGAGCATATTTTTTTAGATTTTTCTATATCGTGAGATATATTGGACTTTTTTTGTTTTGTTGTCATTGGGTTAAATGTCAACACTCTTGTAGTTATTTACTAAATTGTTACTTGTACTAAGGGTACCCTGATGACACGTTTCACATTTATCAAACTGGCCCATAACTTACCAAGCCCTTGGGTGTACCTGGAATCTAACATTTGCATTTACTATAGAATGTTCACTGCTGAGTTTGTGAAGATATCTGTTTTGTCGAATTGCTCTCATATCATTCTTGATTTGAATATTTTTTTAAATATAACAGATAAAAAGTTAGTATGTAACTTTTATTTTTAATTTTGTTGAGCTAGTATAGCTTTATACTCACCAGTGAATGTCCCCTGGGCAAGACAACTAACGATATAAATCCATCTTAACTAATAATATAAATGTCTCAAATACTCATAGACTGTAAGTACGTTTAAGCAAGGCTTTCTTCACCCTGTTTCTCATATCCCCTTTCTATAATTGCAAAGTGCAATTCATTT